CGTTACAACAAAACATTTTTTATAGATGTGAATAAAAAGGATGTTTGAAAAATAGGCTGGCTCAAATTATATCAGTTGCAGCTAATTGTAAGGACAATTATTCTATTGAACATGATGTTTCAGCGAACAATCTTGTCACCCACATTACTATTTCTAGTACTAAACGACACTGCTTTAATAGTTTGAATTGCTATAAAATTTGTTTTTGGTCTATTCTTTTGACATATTTCAGACAATGAGATTAGTTACAAACATTGTCAGGCAACCTGAAAAATTGCAAAATTAATCGACTAAAGTTATCGCGCAACCTGGATGAAATTGTGGAACTTTCGTACTCGCTCTTGTTTTGAAGTTAAATTTTGTTTGACTAGAAATGTAATCTGCAAATTGGATGTTTAGATTTTGGATATTTTGAAGGAACATTTGTGCTCGTTGTAGTTTTTAGGTCTATCTTGTGTTTTGGCCAGACATTTAAGCTGCAATTCTCAGATTTCAAAATTATCAACACGGGAAAACATATTGAGCAAAATATTTTCCCCCTTATTTAAGGCGTAGAGTAAGCGGTGACTGAAACTTTGAAACGAAAACTTATGTTGGCCATGTTTTGCATAGTTTTTTTCCGTTTCGTTTTGAAAATGGATCAAAATTAGAAATAGCACAATCAAAAAATTTTTAAAAGCTAAGCAGCAACATGCAATTTCAAAATAATTAGAAAAAACATTTGGGAGTTTTTGAACATTTCCTTTTTTGATTTTGATTAAAACACAGTTCAATTTATTGATTTGATTGAGGTACCACTTAACAAAAACCTTCAAACAAATATGAAAACGAATGAAATTTTGCCTTTTTTTGGTTCATTATCTTGTTATTATTCTTTTTTTGTCAATCTACAAGTTTTGAAGACTCTTTGCATATCAGTTTTGATGCTAAGATACGACAACAATAACAATACAAAACAAAGGATTCTTCAAATGCCGACAAACTGCCGTTCGACAAACGAAAAAATCACGATTATATATGTAAGATCGTAAGTTTTGTATAAGACCATGTGAAAATTTGTGTCACACCTAATCGTTTGAAAAGTTATTTTACTTTTTGCCAAGCAGTAACCTGAAGATTGGATTTTTTCTTTATGCAATTACTAAATTGTTATTTTTGATGATCAAATTGTAGTTTTGAAAACAAGTTTTTTTTCGACAGACAAATTAAGTCAGCTTTCGAAAAGAAAAAAAATGGTTGAAAAAACACTTTCCTGCATTAAATGCATAATTCAAAGATTGCGAAAAGTCGCAATTTGACAACTAAAACGCACAATTGCGCTGCATCGGTTATGTGCAAGATACGAAACGATTTGATAATTTTTGTAAGAAAGGAAACTTGAAAAACCCAATGTAATGAGGGAGACTTGGCAACGGAAACTAAAATGCAGCAAAACTTTTCATCGCAAAAAGCGGTTTTACAAACGCAACAAAAAATGAGTTTTGCCAGTCGAAGTTTCCAGACGAATAATTTTCTGGATTAAAATAATTGAGGCGACAACAGAGTAGAGTTGAAAGAAATCGGGAAAGACTAAATAACAAAAAAACTAACCTAGTAATTTAAACTAAAATTGTATTAACCGGTTGCTAACTTAATATTAGGCTGTTGAAAAAACTTGCTTGAAGGGCATGCAAAGACAACTTGCGATTAAAATCTATGTGCTATAATTTTTTTGTTTTTGATTGTTTAGTCATTAGTTTTGTATTGTCAGATCAAATGGTGGACTTGGAAAAAAATTGGTGAAAAAAGTTTTTTTTTTAATTTAAAAAAAAATGGATATGGTAGTCGTTTGTTTGTTTTGTTCTTGCTTAGGCGGCTTATAATCGTTTTCGCTAGCTTAGACATTTTTCTGCGTTTGGTGGTTTCAACAGTACTATTAAATCAAATTTAAAAAGTTTCGCGTAAACTGTGATTTGCAAAGTGAAAATTTCATTCGAAAAGTGACTTTTTGTTGCACTTTGCTGCAATTTTTGTGGTAACGCTTAGGAAAAAAACAAATTTAAAAAAAACAACGAAATTTTTCTTTAATTAAATTAATGAGCATTTTCAATTTAAAAAAAAAACAGAATTCTTGTTCAATTACAATTAAAATACACAATAAACAGTTCAAAAACATGTGCGAAGCAAATAAAATTTAAGAAACTGCTACAAAAAGCACAGTCAAATAATGTTTGTTCGAGGGTTATTGTGATGAAAAACTGGCAACCAATGATCAAATCAATCTTTGTTCGAAACGTACGATCACTAAGCTGTAACTTTTAAGAAAAGGAATCCCATGTTATTATTTTTTTTGGCTCAGAAAAGATTAACTAAAGCTTTAACTGAAACCTTTATTCTTTGTTTGTTTTTTTTTTCAATAACGTGGAACTAATTGCAAGAAGCGCTGTTTAGAAGTGGTGAATTTTTTCTCAAAGGCGTCATATTGACGGTCAGATGCCTTTCAACGACATACAAACTTGTTTTGTACTGAGCAATAACTTGGAAAATAAATTATTACACAGAGTTTTGCGTCACTTGCGATAGAACAGAAGCAGAGCATGACAGTTAGCAAACAGATAATGAGACGAAAGCCAAAAACAAATTATGGAACCCTAAATTTGCAAAGCTAATTGTCCATAATTTGTCTTGAAAATAAATCAAATTTTTTAAAAAGCATGACAAATAAGAAAAACAAAAGTTACGTTTGCATTAAAAAGGAAGCGATCTAAAGCCGTTATTTTTTAAGCAGCAGCCCATTGAGCCAAAAAAACAATTTCTTGAAAAAAATTGAGATTTTTGAAAAAAAAACTAATTACTCCTCCAAAATGCACACGCATAGGACGCGACGATGCAATATGATATCAATAAGCCGACTAAGTTTAGGCCGAACAATCTTTTCAGCCGAATGAACTAACATATCTAGTAATGCTTGTTGGTCGACGAAAAAGCAGACTTCAGAAAAAGATTCAGATATTTTCATGGACATTTTTTTCGTAAAATAATTCAATGCTCCGAATTGATAATACTTGCGAATCGCAAGCGCAATAATCGCATACGTAATAATCAGTGCATATCAATGTATTTTTTTCACATGAAATTTTTTTCGAAAAAAATCTTGTAACTCGAAAAACTTTAGCAATGGGGCTTTAAAAATGGCATTCAGGAACACACACAGAAAATGAGCCGACAAAAACAGTAAAAATAATTGGACGTAGCCGCTGATTCAGGGGAGCCACCCACAATCTGTTCTTTTAATTGAACTCATCATCTCAGATTTAGCAAAGGAGTTTTTGAGAAAATGAAATTAAAATCCGAAAAAAAAATTGGGTCAAATATTTCACCCCATAGTTTTTGATGCCCGGAGAAAATTGATTATGATGAAAGAACCCCGTCAGATTATGTAGGGACACAGGAAAATGAGCGTCAATTTCACTAGTACCACTTTTTTAAAAATCGATGAAATGGGGAAACATAGGGAAACATTTTTCAAAGCGTCTCAAAAAACCATAATAAAAAAAGCAAAAAGCAAACCCCATACAATTTTGGGAAACATGTGGTTATTAAACACAAACACAACAGACATTTGAATTTTGAACTAGCAACGGAACAAAATTTACGAAGAGGAAACAAACCCCACCACCTTTGAGCAGACACAATTTGATCCAAAAAAAGTATATTTCTATATAAAAATCTTTTAAATTTTTTGCAAACAACAAAAAAGTTGCCTACATTACAAGAAAAATCCGTTACGTGGCAACTAAGTCTATATACTTGAGCAAACAACAGTTGAGACGAACAAAAAAGATTTGATTTTTCAACGAACTAAAACACTTTTAAGTCCCCCTGAACAACGATGAATGACACTGGGACTTGCAACTACATTAAAATTTGCTTACAGCACAAGCAAAAACCGTGATGTGTCAACTAAGTCAAATGCAACAAGGCAACTAAGTCTACAAACTTGAGCAGAGACCAGTTGAGACGAAAAAAAAACAAGATATTGTTTTTCATTAAACTAAAAATCTCTCAAGACCCCCTGAACAAAGATGCAAAACATTGGGAGTTGCAGCTTCATTGAAAGTTGCTTACAGCACAAGCAAAAACCGTGATGTGTTATGTAAGTCGGCAAAAGAATTGAACAGACAAAAGAAGGTCCGACCATTTAATTTTTACCGGAAAAAAAATTTCAATTGCATACATACTGATCAAAAACAATTCTCGGTCGGGACTCGAACGCCAAACCATAGGATGTAAAGTTAACTGCGTTACCTTTAAGCCGAGTGCGAAGGAACCTGCAACTTATTAAGCTTTAATCATAAAGCAAGTTGAAATTTTGTTTAAAAAAAAATTTACGGGAAAGTGTCTACTTCCCAATTACATGACCTTTGCTCTCAGAAGTCTATTATCTTTGATCATGAAATTGCAGGGGAAAGTAGAAAACGTAACAAAAATTTTTTCTGTTTGAAAATTTTTATGCCTACGTCCAGGGGCGGATTTAGAGGGGGGGGGGGGGGGTGGGGGTATGCTGACGCTTCCCTACCTCAGGGATTCCACCCCCTGCCGACCCCCTTCGGTACTCGGAAAATCAATTTGGTCGACCTAAAAAAAAAGGTCGTCAAAGTTTTCGGAAAAATTTTTTTGAAAATCCGCCCTCCCCTCGAAAAAAATCCTAGATCCGCCCCTGCCTACGGCATATACGCGGTGTCTTTTTGATTTTTAAGTGACAAGACTGTGTGTACTTTTGCATTTGCATCGATTTGAGCTCTCGAAAAAAAAGAAAAAGCTTGTAATGAAAATAAAAATGACAACTGAGCATGTTTATATAAATGAATGAGAACCAAGAACAAAAAAATGGTTTTTTAGTAAGTTATGGTGCCATTTTTGCGACATCTCTTACAACATGGCTGAAAGTTTTTTATTGTGATTACGTTATCGTGTCTTAGCTAACTCTGAGCTAGAATAGCTCAAGATGGCCGGACACTTATTGTTAAATCATCAAATTAACAAAGCTTATCATCAAATAAAGTGAGGTTCTGTTTATATTTTTGGCTTAACAAACTGGCTGAAAACATAATCTCATTGTTTTTTTTTTGTATAAACATAATACTACAAAGCTAACAGCGATAAACAGTTAAAAACGAGAAAATAAAAAAAAAAAAACTGGAGTCAATCACTTCACGTTTCTTCATCTAGTCAGTAATGCAGAATTAGACTTTAAGAAGCAGCATCAAAATACTTCGCAACAGCAGCGTGAACATAATAGTTTGACCACGACCCACTTCAAAATCAGAAGTTGAGTTGCATACTTGCCACAATTCAAATTTTCAATCACGCCATTGACTAATATAGCTCCAGCATCCATAATTAAAATTCAAAACTTGCGAAACTCTTGCATAAGTGCAGATAAAGTCGTGAATGATTCTGACAAAATCCAACCAAACTTGTAAGACTGTACTTTTTCTCAAATCTCCTATTGCCTACCTTAGAAGTCTGCGACAAGAAACGGATTTGTTTCCAGCAACCGTTAAAAGCCATACATGCATGCAAAATGGAGCCAAAAATTAGCATATGGGATTACGAACCGACATTACCTCGCCAGATCATCTGGTGCAGCGTGTGCACGCAGCCTTTCAGCGACCCGCGACAACTGCCAGGGTGTGGTCACTTAGTTTGCGGACCCAAGTCCACAAGCAGCTGTGCCAACCGAGTACTCTACGGTTCACATCGACGCTGCCCAGTCAAATCCTGTCAGCGGTCAATTCCTGAGACGGTCTTTGTGGAGGATCTCAAGCTTCCGGAGGTATTGCAAAATCAGGAGGGAGAAAAAAAACCATCATCGAAAAATACAGGTAGCTGATCAAGTAGAACATACAATTCGAAGCAGAACTGGAGAATTAGTGTTCAATTTTTTATTTCTAGTTTCCGATTTTTCTCAAGGATTCGGTTTTGGTGTCACTTTAAAAAATCCATTTTTGGTGGATGACCCTAAAATGTTTTATAAAAGCACTTTTGGCGCCACTCTATATACTGAGAGGGGAGCACACGCAAAAAGCAATGCAGTCGAAATTCGGAAACTCAATTTGGTCCATCTAAAAAAAATGTATTTTTTTTTAATTTAAAAACTGCCCCCTCGGGAAAATCTGCCCCAACAAAATTCAAATCAATGGGATGATTTTAAGATAACCCAGAAACAATTTCCGAGCACATCTGCCAATCTTCGAAGGAACGGCGTCGGTCCATTTTTCAAGCGGGATCTGATCTGTCGACCAACAGAATGAAAACAACCGAATCAGATAAAGATGAACGAGTGGAAACAATAGAAAACAAGTAAGCACGACATTGTTGATTATATTTTCAGCATAAATAATTGTTCAGTTTTTTCACAGAATGCTCTGGCTCCATTTATCATTGTTAAGAACACCCAGCATCAAAAATTATCCTGTTTTTTTTTTAAGTTGAAGTCTTTGTTTTTGTTCCAACCACGTCATGAAATGACGGGAACGAACTATGGCTTAGGGTGAATTTTTATGGTGGAGTCCGAATGTTTATGGAAAAGTCCATAGGTAGTCAATTTTAAATCACAGAGACGATGTGGAGGTTCACACCACTTATGATAAAACACAAACACAACTTGGCAGGTGGCCTAAAAAAATAGGGCGAAATCCACTACGTCGAAAAAAAATCCGAAAAAACGTCAGATGTCTTTTTTGTCTCGAATGCGATTCAGCTTTAGAGAACATGTTGATAAACTCAATTGACAATTTTAAATCAGTAGTGGAAAAAATTGCTCTGCGGCAATTAGGCCATCAACTTTTGGGTAAAAGCTCGTTGAGTCGGAAAAGAATTTAAGGTAAAAAAATTTGAGCTAAAAACGTTTGAAAATTTCAAATTGTAGGTCCATCCTGAATCACACACACACACACACACGCAAACATAAGAACTTATGTTCGCATTCCACACGATGTATTGCGAGACGACTAACCCGATATAACATGAGCCTAATCTAATGATATATTAGAACCTTCAGCAAAAAAAAATCCGGAAATTGTACAAAATCGTAATTTAGGTTACTAACAACTTTAAAAACAAATTTAAACAAAACAGCTCTCACTTCTCAGAATGACAATCACGGCAACTACTCTCAGAAGTGATTCGCTTTTGTTAATTAAACTTGTTCACTCAAAAAAAAAACGTTAAACTCATTTGAAAGTGCTAGCTAATTGCGAGCGTAATCCTTTAAAATCATTTCAGCTGTAAGCCTTATTCCGTAACAAACTTAAAAAATTGACTCCGTGTCAGAATAATTGGTCTAAGTGTTTCCCATTTTCAAAGCATAAAGTTTGATGTCAACCAATTTAAATCTGATTCGGTTTTTTGATTTCTTCATACTTCTTATTAATTAATATTTTTCGAGTTCTTATTACTTCTTGTTATTTTAGTTATTTTCCCGAATTCAACCCATTCCTACTTTGAAAAAAGAAATTTAGAAAACAAATAAGAAAAAAGTTTTAAGGAAAAAGTTTTTTGTTGTCCATTTTTCCTATGTTTTTTTTCATACTTTCGAGTTTTTAGCTGTATCATTGTGATATAAGGAAATGATTTTTTGCTACTTACACAACGACCTTATAATTGTTTTTTTTTACATTCTATTTTTTGCTTTTTTGTGCTTAAAAGGGGTTGAATGTAGTTTTTGTTAAATTAGCCAATAGTAGCTTCAAAAAACAAAAGTTATATCAGTTAAATCGATTACCAAGTGGTTTTGGTAACCAATTGTTTTTTTGAAACAAAAAAAATTTTCAGAAGTAAAAAATGAATTAAACGATTTGAAGACAACTATTTAGATCGGGTTATTTTTTCCATTTGTTTTAGGCCGAGTTTTAAAACTCGTTTAATGTCCGATTTGATTTTTCATGGTCCCATTTTTAAAGTTTATTTCATATCAGGGGCGGATTCAGGGGTAGGGGTAGGGTGGTAAGGCATACGCTTTTCTTTTCAGGGAAATCGACCCCCTCACTAACATTAAGCCTCACTTCGGAATTATCTAATGATAATTATTTTCGGCCGATCAATTTTTCTAACATTACGAGGCACTGGATAGGCGCACAATTTTTTGTCTCTTTGTTCCCGGATTCTAGACACAAGTTTGCGGATTCGGCCAAATTGCCTGTTTTCGGAACAATTTTGAGCAATACAGTGTTTTAACAAAGTGTTCATGGAATCCAAAAGAGCAAAGAAGATCAAGGAAATATAGCATTGTTGCGGATTCCACAACAATTCTGTTTTTGGCCTGTTGCGGAATTCGCAAACAATTCACAACATGCACAGTTTGACCTTGTAATGAAAATTTTTCTAAAGGCTTTTCCGGCGCCAACATATTCTAACTTTGAAGGGAAGCGTGCGCCGAAAAAATGCAAATTTTGGTCAAAATTTTCCAAAAAGTGCCTAAAAACGTTTTTTTCCTGGCTTGTTTTTTTTACGAAACAAAAACGCTGTTTAAACTTGAAAACTCACATGAGTGAGCCTACATTTTGAAAGTGGATTTGAGTTAATAGATTTCCCAGCCTGATAATCACGCGATGAAAATGTTCTACCTAAAATTATGTTAATTTTACCGAAAAAAAGCCGATATTATAAGGTTTAATATATTTAAAGAGCCTTTTGTTTTTTTTCGAGCTCTTGGATCAATCTGAGCTTTCTTTGTGGTACATAATTTTAATTAAAGGACCCAACTATTTTTGCGCTCGCTCATTTCGTGAAGTGGTTGGAACAAAAAGGCATCTAACTCATAGTATCCTCAAAAATCCTACTATAGAGCACAGAAAAACAGTTGTACAATTATGCAAAAATAATCATCAGATGAATATTTGAGCTAGTTTTTTCATCAGATGAATATTTTTGAGGTGATTTTTCAGCAAAATATGGGTAGAAAAAAATTACTTATCGAGGTAGTTTCAATTCCTCGTACTGTTCAACTGCGTATACATTAGAATAGCTGTTTTAATTTGCAAAAAAAAAGACTTCGAGACAATCAATACGCAATTGACAAAAAATTAAATTTCTTAGAGTCATATCGGTACTGTAGGGTTAGTCGACCAAAAAGATATGTGGTAAAATAGTATTTGGATGGCTAGGGGTTGAATCCTTCGTGCACGTGGCACACTGGCACGAGTGGCGACATGTATTTAAATGAACAGAGATAGTCTGTTAGACCGAGAAACGCAAAAACTACTTCAAGCGCAAAATCTACTTCTTGCACTTTATGTATAACTTAAAACCTTGAGAATATATTTACTTTCAGATACAAATAACAATTTTTCAATTTCAGAACACAAGATTTTGAACCAGCAGAAAACGAACATGAGGTTTACAAGTTAGACGAGGATGCAATCGAACCGGCAAGAACTGACAAGGAATGTAAGTTAAGAAACTTTTTATTTTATTTTCTTGCTGCGGCAGGTCACAGATAAAACAATTAAAACAGAGACCGATCTGCAGTTTAAACTAGCTCTAAAAATAATACAGAACAAGCCTCGAAAAAAAATCAATTTCAAAAGGTAACGTAAACTAAAAGTTTGGATTTTTTGTTGCGCTCAAATAAGTCGCGCTTTCTTATGGTGTTCAATATGGTATTTTATAATTGAGCTTTAATGAACGTAAGGCACTTTTTTTATTTATTGATAGTGTTAAAGAGTCGATGAACGTAGTAGGCTCTTATCTAGGTAGTGAAGTTTTTTTTTAAAAAACGTTCAGGAAAAATTCTCTAAATTGATCAGGCTCAAATTCATTTTTTGGCGGTTTGATTTTTGATTTCTTTCGAAGTTTATTTCATTTCTTTGGTTAGAATTGAACAGCAAAAGTGTAAGAGTCACAAAAAACGTGATCGATTTCTAGTTTCGAAAGTGGAATTTAATTTTCAGATTTCCCAGCTTAACAAAAAATTACCGATTGTCTATTGATCCAGTTTTTTTTTTAATTTTGACTACTTGAATCAAAAAAAGTGTCAATACTAAGTAAAAAGAAATTTAAAAGAATTTAAGCCATCTATTTTTTTATACTTTGAAAAATCAAAGAAAACAAGTCAGTATTTTTCTTCTTGCGTTCTTGACTCTCTTTTAACTGTTTGTTGGCTACCCGCATCCAGTTTCAAGCGTTAATAATCAATTATAATATAATTTTAGTACCAGTCTTACAAAAATAGAGAAAAATTGATTTTAATTAATTGATAATTGATTATAATCTCTCTTTTTGAAATCAAACATAATCAATAATAATACATTATAATCGATTATTTTTATCCGAATTTCTAATTCATTTGTCCTCGAAATTCTACCTAAATTGCCTTTAATTTATGTTTTTTGTAGACGTTGGTTTATGTGATAAATGTGAAAATTGTTTTAACAGTTTTCAAATCAATTCAATTTTATAACTTTTTTTTCATTTCTTGACTATAATTGTTTTATGATGCACATTTTAAGTTTTTTGATCGCCAAAATATCAGCACACTGCTTCAGTTTCATGATTTATAAAAAAGAATTATAGTTCACCAACCGCGTGAATATTTCAACTAATAGAAAGAAATTTATATGAAGCTTTTGTTTCGTAGTAAAACTTTGTGTTCAGATGAGCCAAAGAGTGACAAGACATCTAACTTTTAAAGATTTTTGGCAGAAAAAAGGAATCTAATCTATTACAATAGAATATAACAGATTATAAGAGATTTTCGGAAAAATTATAATCAGTTATAATTGATTATAAGTTATTATAATGTCACGAAAACTGTTATCATTATAATGGATTATAAATCATTTAAATATCATTTAAATTTGGAGCTTATAATTAATTATTTTGATGAAAGTACAATTATAATTGTAATATAATCGATTATTGTCTCTTTTACAGAAAGCGGGTATGTGTATTTATTGAGAACAAACCGGTCAATATAGTTTTCTCAAACTGGGTTAATTTAATCAAAAAAGTGTCAAAATTAAATAAAAAGAAATTCAAAGCAATTTACGGCTATCTAATTTTCTTCATATTTTGAAAATTCAAACAAAACGAGTATTTTTGAAGAACAAACCTGCAAAATGATTTGCACTCATTTATTGTTCTAACGATTTGACCTGTGATCTCCGTAACCTCAAATTCGAAGTGCACTTCAAAATAGTTTACTGGAAGCAAGAGAAAGTACGCATTCCAATAATAGAATTACAATTGACAAAAAATAGCTAAATTCTACTCCATTAAATTAGGTTGCATTTTTTTCAGTGAAAAAACCTCAGAACTTCTTCACGTTCAATCTTATATTTGGACGATTGGGTTTTTGATTTTTTATTAGTTCGCTTTAAGTTCAAATGCTGATCAAAAGAAAATATCACTATCCAAAAACAAGTGCGTATGTATTTTAGTTTTAAGTATGGATTTTATCAAAAATATTTGTTCGATTTTCTAGAGTATATTTACAAAACATTGAAAAACCTTGAAATTTTTATTAAACTGCAGAGCCATCAAGATCTTGTTAAGTTTTTCACGATGACTGGATCTGGGTAGAGCTACGTTACGATGCGATCAGTCGTCTCAAGTATAACCACATTTTTGTAGCTTTTTCCCTTTAAGCTGTTTAGTACTGTTTTCCATATCAGATCCTGTCTGGCAGCGCGGATCTAAAAGAATTTCACGAGGGTGGGGGGGGGGGGGGGTTCTGCGCTGTACTTTCTGAAAAGGTATGCTGCAATTTTGAAAAAAATGTAAAATGAATTTAACATATTTCAGCCGAGAGTCCGGAAAAGAATTTCGAGCAAAGACTCAAACTGATGAAAAAACGCCACGCAGAAAACCTTGAGACGCAAAGGGTGTACTTAACACAAACTTACAGCGAAAAGATAAACACTCTCAGACAAGAGTTACAATCAAAGCTTAAAGAACAAGAACAGAGAAAAGAAGACTTAAGATTTGAACACACGCAGGAAATCAGTATAAGGCAAAAACGTTTTGAAGAGCAGATTAAAAAGCCAAAAAAGAGCATCGAAAGGCTGGAGAATTTGGTGCGGGAGCGGCATCAAGAAAAAGCAAAGGGTTTGAAGAAAGATCTGTCGAGGAAAAAAAATGAAATATTAGTTGCAAAACAAAAGTTCGAAAAGGAAAAACAAGAACTGGAAAGCCAACTGTTCAATCAAATAGAGACACTGGAGCAAGAAAGAAAGACGCTGGAAAAAAAATGTGAAGAAGAAAAAATAAACTTGGAATCCGAATGTGAGAAGCAAAAAGCGGCAAAAGAAGAAAGTCTCAAAACAGAACACCGGACAGAAATTTTGAAATTGAAGAAAACTACTGATAAAAATTGTAAGTTGAGGTGTTCTCGTTGTTTGAATCAGCCAAGATTTTTCAGGGCGTTATAGGTTTTGCGGAAGACGTGTCTCAGGAAATACAAATAGACAATACAACTTTTGGCACACGTATTTCATAATTTTAGATAGCATCAAAGAAGCTTGCAAAATATTTTATTTTGTATTGTTCAAGTTTAACAAGTTGCAAATTGAACAAGACTGTTCGTATCAGGGCGTAGCTCTAAATGTTTCGACTGCCTTTTAAGGTCTATCGAGCAGTTTTAGCTTTATAAAAAATGGAAAAAAATTGAAAAAAAAAAATGGAAAAAATTGAAAATCATCCTCCCACACGCCACAAAAAGTCTTAAGTGATAAATTTCGCCCCTGGTAGCAAAGCAATTACGACCAATAGCCTATTTCAACCACTTTGGAACGATTTCTAAGACGGATTAAATCTCTGCTTCCGCGTTCATAGCGCGAAATATATCACAGAGCGTGCATAACTTCATAATAAGCTTTTCGTGACTGAAGATTACACGTTTCGACCAAATAGCCTATTAATGGCGTAAAAGACATTGTGATTTTTAAACATAGTGATCGTGCGCTAAGAGAAAGTACATTTTGTGTGTTTCAGCCGACAGTCAAACTCTTGTGATTCAAACCCCTGACGACAATCAAACCCCTGTCGACAATCAAACCCCTGCTGACAATCAAAACCTTGTGAACGCCAACTTCGATATGAATAAATTGGAGCAGGAAAAGGAGCTCACAAAATTGCGCGTCGAAATGGATGAGATGAACCAAACGATCAAAGACAAAAGCAAGGAGATAAGCGAACTAAAACGCAGCTTCAAAGACTTACAGGCAAAACTTGCTATGATGGAGAAACAGTGCGGCTCCAAAGAAATGCTGGCACAAATTGCAATGATGGAGAAGCAGCAGGAAAGAAAATTTTCAAATCAGTTCAAAATCTTAGAGACCGAAAGAAGTAGATTAGAAATTGAAATTGAGAGGAAACAGGACCGTGAGAAAACGCTAGCGCAGCAAATTGCTACAGAAGAAGAAAATTTGATGTTAAGCGACATGTCAGATCTTTCAAATGTGAAGGAGCCGAAAACATCCGACCACAAGAAATGTTAGTTGAGAGATTTTTTCTCTTATCTTTTCTTGTTTCGATAATTTGCAGTGGGAGGATTTATGATGTGGTTGTTTTTCTATATACTTCTGGTACTGTGAAAAAACTTCTGACACAGGCAAAACAACAGTGCAAGCTAGCAGGCAGGAAAGGAAAGTAGCTCACTAGGTGCAACAATTGAATACATTTCGAAAAACGTGTAAAATAGTGAAGTGTAAAATAGTGACTGTAATAATACCCGCATCCAGTTCCAAGCGTTAATAATCGATTATATTACGATTTTAGTACCAGTCTCACTAAAATTGCAAAACAATCGATTTTAATCAATTAATAATCAATTATAATCTCTCTTTTTAAAATCAAAATATAATTAATTATAATCCATTATAATCGATTATAATCGATTATTTATTCGTCTATTTTTCGACAAAATTATAATCGATTATAATTGATTATAATCCATTTTTTTATTCAAATTTCTATTTCATTAGTTTTGCACAAAAATCCATTATAATCGATTATAATCAATTATAATCCTTTTTGTTTGTCCGTTTTTGTCTTCGAAGTTGCATCTAAAATGTTTATATTTTATGCTTTTTGTGGACGTTGGTTCCAATGAAAAATGAGAAAAATATTTTTAAAGTTTTCCAATTAATTCAAATTTATAAGTTTTTTTTTTCATTTCTTCCCCAATAGAGTTGTTTTGCGATGCATATTTTAAGCTTTTTGAACACCAAAACATCAGCAAATTGATTTAGTTTCATGATTGATCCGGAAAATTTATTTTTCATCTACCGCGAGAATCTTTCCACTCATATGAAAGGATCTCTATGAAACTTTTGTTTCGTGGTAAAACTTTGTGTTCAGATAAACCAAAGTGTTCAAGAGATCTCTCTTTTAGAGATTTTCTTAATGACACAAAATAAATAACCCATAAGATATAATTCGAAAAAAGAAAATTTTTGGCAAATTAAGAGATTATAATCAATTATAATCGATTATAAAAGATTATAATCTCTTGGAAAATATCACGATTATAATCAATTATAAATCCCTTAAAGACCTAATTTTGATAATTATAATCGATTATATTTGTCAAAAAATCATCATAATAATCTGTTATAATCGATTATTTACGCCTAAACTTGGATGCGGGTAATCTATTAGCGGAAAACACGTCCAGAAACACAACTGACGATGTTATATGAAAAATCAGAAACAGTCATCGAGCATAAACTGAGCCGATCAAATTTGGGTAAATTCCCGTAGAACTCGAAATATAATAGTTGAACTGTAAATTCTATCCTAAGAACTTTGGCACTTAGTGCGACCAGGAGAGAATCAGAAAAATCAAGTTTCTCTTGAAATAACCAAATATTAGACCACTAAGGCGACAAAATATAAGACTAAATGAATTAGGCCAATAAAATTTTTAAGCGGAGAAAAAGGGACTAAAACAAGTCAAGGTTAATAGACTTACAACCTGCAGGAGTAAATCAAAACACTAAGGAGTTACAAAGAAGATTTCATACAGCAAAAAAACGAACACGTGGAGAAACTAAGCCGACGAAACATAAACAGACAATTAGTAGGTCGACAAATTTTTTGACACGGAATTTTTCTCATTAAAAAAATCAAACCTAGGGCCTTTGCTGTCCAGGCGTATTAGTTGCGTACAGACTAAGAGTGACGCTTAGAAAGTTGAACTCATTATAATTCAAGATACCACCTGATTCTCTTCGTCAAAAGTATCTATAAGAAGTCTGTTTTCTGGTTTGTTATGCGTAATGAAATTGAATGAAGTTTTAAAACAATACATATTCACGGGTCGAATAGCTTGAAAAACTTTTGAGTAGTCGAATTAAATAGTTTCAAACCTTGTTGCAATGAAATTTCAAGAATCTATCGACCAGCATTGGAACAATGTGGTTGATTTGCCCAATTATGCAATGCGTTTTTTGTCTTCGAAGAAAAACGCCAAAAAAATTCCAAAAAAAGTTTCGCGAAAAACAATTCCAACTATTTTTTTCTTTTTGGAAAAAATGCACCAACTTGCTGTTTTAAGTCAGCGGCTAACGATTGTCACAAGTTGCTGCTGCTGTAACTAAATGAGTCGCAGCCAACAAGTCAAAAAAGCAACACGACTGATTGTATCGAGCCAATACCAGAATGCTTCGATTGTCTTTTAAAGTAACTGAAGTAAATTTTGGTTCACAAAATAGCTCTCCAGGGGCTGTACCTAATGATTTTGCGAGAGGGGCAGTTTCTGAAAACTTTCGAATTTTACACGTCGACATTCTTCAGGTAGATTAATGTAAACTTCCGATCTGATCTAAAATACAAACTCGTTACACCCGCGAAAGCCTCACTTTATAATTTCGTGAAATGCATAATTCAGGAGCCCGAAAATCCATTTAGAAATAAAGCAAAACAATATTCATAGTAATTATGCATTTCTTAAAGAAAAATTTCTGATTGATTTGATAAGAAAACCGATAACTTAGACAAAAATTGTATGCGTTATCAGTAATAGATATGCGTTATAGAATCTGGCAAAAACACCTATGATGAGCTGGACATTTTTTTGATACGCGCGTCACCTTAAACGAAAATCAATCACACCCCTTGGTCGCTGATGACAGTCAAATTAAAAGTTTGGTTTTAGGTCAACGCATGACTGTTTTATCTTTCTCCGAAAATGCCGACCAATCCCACGCCGCGTTGTTCCGACTTTCAAAGAAAGTAAAGAATATATTTGCTCGGAATCGTTTTTGTTATTCCGACCACTCCAAAAATAATTTTTTCTCAATCGGGCGGTTAACTGCCAGAACTTCCTGGGCCCTGCCTCAAATTTGAACACTTATTCTCAGCCTAAGTTTCATAATTTATCAATACTTCGGTTACCAAAAATTATTCGAGACAAGTTAAAGGGCAGTCGGAACAATTTTTGCTTTGCCCTGATACGAGCACTCGTTGCTCAAGAAATAGTTTTCCTAAAAAACTTAAAGAGCGATTAGAAATAAAGCATTGCATTAATTTCATGGCGAAAAGTTTTGTTCAGACCCTTGAAAATGGGGAGAAACTTTGTATTCGGGTGTTTTATAGTTTTTTGTTGATTTTTCCTCCCAAATTCAGTTGTTTTCCTCGCAAATTCAGGTACCACTAATAATAGTCGGATCGGTCGATTGCAATATCATATTAAAGCCTTCTCAGTCGTTATTCGAACAACATTTAAAAATTTCCAAAAATTTCTCCTATTGAGAAAAACCGATTTGATGTTTTTGAATTTTCGTCTAATTTCGACCACGTAAAGGAAACGAGCATGCTTATTTATGCTCTTAATTTAGGCTGTTTAAAATAGCTTAATTATGCTTCAGTTTAATTTTACTCAAGTTGAGCATCAGAAGAAAAGTAACTAGCTTTAAAAAAGCCGAAAATACCTGAGCAGAAAACCTTACAGCCGAAAAATTTCAAATGACTTATAAAAACTAATAAAATGATGTTAAAACCCCATACACCTCAATACACACACATCCAAAGTTTTTTTCGCTCGTCAAACGACGAGATATGAGGTCAATAAGCCGATATAATGAGGGCCAAAACATGAATCTGAGAAAAAAACTGAGAAAAAAAAACATGAAACTTTAAAAAAGACTTTAAAACTAATTAAAAAGTTGTTAAAGCCCCATCCCCTTCAATTCAAACACACGCACCCACAAACTCTTCAAACGACGTAAAATGAGGCTAATAAGCCAATATAAAAAAGGCCAAAATTCATAAAACCGAGAAAAAAAAATGAAATTTTAAAAAGACTTAAAAACTAATTTAAAATTTGTTAAAGCACCATCCCCTTCAACACAAACACATTTTTTTTTGCTCATTAAACGACGCTATATGAGGCCAATAAACCAATTAAAAAGAAAAGGAAAAAAATTAAAAATGAAATAGAAAACCAGTTGGTAAACTTACTTCCAACCTAAAAAGCAAATTTTGGATAGGACGGATATTTAAAATGCTAACATGCTCAAAATATGTCTATCGCAGTTTCCAACAGAGACCAGAAAATAAACGTGCCCAGGAAATGGGTCCTGTGAACAAAGTTTTTTATTGGGAAAAAGTCTAGTACTCGATTGCAATTCCCCTGCTTATCGCAAGGGTTATTATAATAGTTCAACATTTTTCAGCCAAAACTCAAGAGAAAAACTTCGAGCAAGAACTCAAACTGGTTGAAAAACGGCATGCAGAAGAACTAGAAACACTTAAGAACAAGTTAGATCAAGATTACTGCAAGAACTTGTACAACCTCAGACGAGAAATGGGATCCCATGAAGATCGCAGACGAGAAATGGGAACAGACAAGGAAAAGGATCTGAAAGCCAAATTTGAGGATGAGAAAACGGCAAAAGAAAAACGTCTGAAAAGAAAGCAACAGACAGAAATTTCGAAGCTGAAGGAATTTGCTGAATGTAAGTTGCAGTACCCGTGTTTTTAATTAGACTGGAGAGATACTTTTCACGATTCATGATTTTCCAATTTTTCAGCCAGCTTGATAGCTTTGACTTTTCCGTCTAATAGATTCAAAACGGCAGGAAAACAAAAAGACGCATTCTGGTTTCCATGTGATAATCAGAGCATCAAAAGTGAAATGCACAAATGAGTACATGATCGTAGGTGTGAGGTTAGAAAAAAAAACATTCGTTAACATTGTTGCTCCAGGTGAATGGAGGAGTAAAGCAAAATCTGAGCTTATTGAGTGTGCGCAGATGAATTTCGATCTGAGATGTACCCTCGAAAAGCTCACAACCTTCCAGATGAGATCCTACCCATGGTGCACTTGGATAGTCAGTGTTGCAGAAATTGGCTGCAACTACACTATGAAAAGCAGACCCGGGCTAGGAGATATGGCTCAATGGACGAATGAGCCTAACTGTAAATACAACTTGAGAGTGTATTCAGTAACCACAACAGAACTGACCGACAGAGGAGGAATTTGTTCAGATGAAGATGAAGAGAAAGCTCACAAGATAGTGGACGATGTGGGGCAGAATGCAGATAAAGACAACTACAGTTTGGACAGAGTGATTGACGAGGTGGAGTCGCGCTTCAACCAAGATGCACTGCACTGGCTGGTCATTCAAGTTCGCGATCGAAACTCTGGTTTCGCTGATTCTCTTTCGTCTGATGGGACTAATATTAGCTCTGTCTACCGAAAAGGAAACAAATATACTATTGATGTAATCCTCTCCAACTGAGTTTCATCCGTAACCTGGACTTCCTGTTATACTTATCTCTATCGCCACTCCAACCGCTACATACTCACCACGCCAAGATTACCCTTAACTGACTTTCTTAGGTCAAAGCCAGAATTTCTCAAGACAATGCCGTCTTCTAATTGCCACCCTTCTAGACATGTTACCCCGCGTCTTATTGTTCTCTATGTGTCAATACTTCCGTTTTAAACGCGAACAATCATAACCCATTACAAAAAAGCAAGAGGTGCTGATTTCAAAAACAATAAAATTAATAGATATTTTTAGACATATTCAGCTATTCTGAAACTATGCTTCCAAAATCCATTCTTCAAAATTGCACTATTAGTACGCAATTGCCAATATGATGATGCTAAATTCACTAATAATGCGACGCTATTCTCACTAATAAAATGTCAAGATATTGCCCCAATTTGTTCACGGCCCTCAAAATCGTGTCAGAAACCCAGACCTGAGTTCATTTATCGTTAAATAGCCTCGAAGTTTAAAAAAAATTGGAGATAACTAGCAATTACGCGCAGATAACCCATTAGCCGAAAAAATACCGAGAGCTATTGATATTAGTATACGTATCTCAATAATTGAGGTTTCTATCAAAGACTATCCAGCCTGTCTGAGCATAGTCCGTTTTTCTGATTTCCCACATTTCAGACTGAGTTATTTACTTGAGCGAATCTCTTTTTTTTGCGAGTCAAGGCCGTTTTTGTTGGGTGCTACCACTATTACAGTCAAAAATTATCTGGGACAGAAATTATCACTTGCGATACAACGAAAGGGTACCATTGCAAGCTACTAAATGGTCAGTGAGATGGAAATAACAATTGGAGAAAAAACTGAAAAAACCGAAAATTCGATCACAGAAAAACAGACGATAAACACAACCACTAGCAATAAGCTCGCTTTTATTGTTTTTTGAGCGTCTACTAAGCCAACAAGACGTGGCTAGGCGCCAATTGATCGGAGAACAAAAAAGGCAAAGGGAATTGTCATAAAAAGTTCAACATTTTTTTGGAAAAATGAAAAATTCAATTAAAAAAAAACAGACGAGAAATACAACAACTAGCATCAAGCAAATTTTGCGAGCGTCCAATAAGTCAGCAACACGTGTTAACGCCAATTGACCATAAAACAAAAATGCTAATTAAAATGGTTGCCATAAAAAATGAGCATTTTTTTGAAATATGAAAAATTCAATTTCTGAAAAACAGGAGAAACACAGCCACTAGCATAAAACAAGATTTTAGTTTTTTATGCGTTCATTAAGCCGTTAACTCGTAGTTGACGCCAATTCATCCGAAAACAAAAAGCGTCAAAGAAAATTTTGAGCGATTAGAAGGAACTTTTAACATTTTTACTAACTGCCGAGCTGATTATTTAAAAACATGAATTATCACTTTTTATCCTGATACCGATGCAAAAGAAGTATACTAAAGGGGCAAAACAAGAGCCCATACTTTAAAGGCCGAATAAAAACTCTAAGCGAAAAAAAACAAAAAACCGGAAAATATACCAGTCAGGTATAGTAAATTTGAAAAACTACCGAAGTTAATCAAAGACACTTGAGACTATAATGAAAATTGGTTACAGCGCAAAAAAACTGCGAGGTGGCAACTAAGCCGACAAACTATATCCCGACTAAACAAGATTTCCTTGAAATAAAACTTCAACTTAAGACATTGAAAACGGCTGGGTCTCAAACCCCTGACCTTCAGCTTCAAAAGCAACTGCAATCGCCCCAGACTAAGGGCGATGAACCGGCAAACCATAAGCAGACAACCCAGAGGCCGAACATTTTTTGATATTAAATATTTTAAGTTTAATAAAAAACAGTTGCTGACCGGATTCGAGCGTAGTTCCTTAGCCGTCTATTAGTACTTTTCGTTGTTCAGTAGTTAACTTTGAATTATTAACTAAATTGAAACTGAAAATTTAGTTGCTGCAGAATGGAATGCTACAGAAATGATTGTGATTTTGTTAGACTAGTGCAATAAAAGTTGTTCAACTAGTTGGTAAACTGTCACCGATATGCGGTGACAGTGCAATACTTTTACAGTATTTTTCCTGGGTACAGTATTTGTTTTATCCATCACCGCATATCATTTATCAATCGTAGTGTTAGAACAATGACAAGCTGCACAGAAGAGCTCTAAAGTGTCATGGTAAAAATTCAAGAAAATACAGAAATTCCTTTAAAAAACTATTTAAAAAAAATGCTACGGCACTTGAACTAGTTCACCGACTCCATGCCCCATGGCTTCAAACTTTCTACTACTTTAATGAAAAAATTAAGTATCAGGAAGCAAAGAATGTGTTTCACAAAGAATGTGTTCAGGAAGCAAAGTATCTGGTTTAGTTTTACTGATGCATCACTTTTCTACTAAATTTGCGATTTGCGATTGAAACAAGAGACTGACTTTAAAACAGTACACCAATTACTGGTAGAAAAAAAGAACACCAAAAATAATGCAGCCTACAAGTTTCCATAAGAAGACAAATCATCAATGTATACAGTTAATCTTCAGTACAGCTAAATTTATGGTGGACAAGCTATCAAGTACAAAATTTTTCATTTCTAAAAAATATTCCAATATGCGATTGGAAAAGTGAACAAGAACAAAAAATAACCATTTTCCAATTTACAAAACAAAAAATTCATCTGGTTAAAGCTCTTAAGCTTTCAAGAACTTTTATAGACTAGTACATTTCCTCTAAATTAACCCAACTTAAACAACCAAATCAATAGGTAATTTTTATATTACGCTGGAAAATCGTAAAAATTAATTCCTCTTCGGAACTAGCAAATGATCAAGTTTTTTGCGCCATTTTTGCTTTTGTAATTGGAAAGCGCAGTTTGGCTACCTTTTAACAAGTGAACATGAATTGAATACAAATAGTAGATATGAACAAATTACGAGATGTAATGTAAGCTGTTGCTTATCTGTTATAAAACACAAGAAAGAATCAAACGAAACACACGTGTGAAAACGTTTTCAGACTAACGCGCAATTTTTTAAAATTTGTTTTGATTGATTGTTCTAGAAAAGATATTGCACTGTTCCTGTTGCAATCGAGTAAATGTTTAAGTGTAAAAGAATGAAAAGATTTCACTTATATAAAACACACGTGTTCAGAACGTTTTCGTGCGATATTTGAAAAACTAGTGCAATATTTGAAACAATTCTTCAAAGTTTGAAAAACTAGCTCAAAATTTAAAGAACTAGTATAAAAATTCCAACGGCAATCGAAACCTTGAAAATTTTCTACTGAAGTTTTCACGCTTTCATATTTATAAAAAAATAAGTTCCTGTGTGATAAAAAGAGGTGTTATGAAAATCGGGTTTTTTAGACGCTTTGGAAAATTTTAGTTTTTCTCAAAAAACACTCTGATTTTTAAAAGAGTGTTACCAATGGGAATTCTCCTGTTTGCCTGCATAAGCACCTAGTCTCTATTTATTGAAGAAATTGAAAAAACGGTCAAAAAATCGTAAATTTGACTTTTTTGAGGATCTGTGTAAAAAAATTTGAGTGTAACCCCCATTGCAGGGGAGCTCTCCACAACCCCTTCGTTTAGTTGAAACTAAAATCTCAGATTTGGGATGGTAGTTTTTGAGAAAAGTTTAAAAGTTTCAGAAAATGGTTAAAAAAATAGAAAAATTGACTATTTTGAGGGCCATAACTTTTTGTTATAGGATAGTTTTCGACAAATTGTAATACATCCAAAAAATTGGGTCAAAACCCGCCACATACATTTTCGAAAGCTGTAGAAAGTGGGGTAAAGTAAAAAGAGACTAGGTGATTATGCATGCAAACAGAATAATTCCCATTGGTAACACTCTTTTGAAAATCAGAGTACTTTTCGAGAAAAACTAAAATTTTCCAAAGCGTCCAAAATAACCCGATCCGAATAACATTTTCATAATACCTCTTTTTATCAAACAGGAACTTATTTCTTTTATAAATTTGAAAGCGTGAAAACTTCAGTAGAACAATTTCAGGATTTAGATTGCGGTTGGAAATTTTATACTAGTTCTTTAAATTTTATACTAATTTTTCGAACTTTGAAGAATTGTTTCAAATTTGGCACTAGTTTTTCAAATATCACACGAAAACGTTCTGAACACGTGAGTTGTACATAAGTGAAACCACTTCATTCTTTTACACTTAAACATTTACTCGATTGCAACAGGAACAGCATAATGCACTAAGTTGTTACATTTTCGCGGAAAAAAAGGAAATTATAATTGAAGGATATGAAAAATTGTCAGTTTTTTTTGCAATGGGTTGAGCTTGGTTTTGGCGAAACAGGCTCTTTTACACCCCCCCCCCCCCCCATATTTCAAAATTTTCATTTTCATAGACGTTTTACCTGTAATAACTGGTAAATGCGTGATAATACGATGTAAAGTATGAAGACCAAATCTGTTCACAATCATTGGAAAAATTTCATGGCATTATGACAACAATAAATAAGTTTTGTAAACTTGTAATTCAAATGTAGGGGGGAGGGGAATGGAAGATCCGCGAAAAATCCTGTAGCGAGACCCTTCAATCGGAAGATGAAACGCAAATATTTTCATTCATTTGCGGTAGCTGACATTCATTCGTGGTAGCTGATTTACATGAAAACAAGGATAAAAAACTGATCCAGAGTTCCTCCCCTAATATGAGCTTTTTAGATTTCAAAAGCCCCTCATCTATTAAATCGGAGTCTAATGAAATTTTACTTTAGATTAATCGGTATAATTTTCAACCCCTTGCCATTTTTATCATTCTGTTTGCCTTCTCTTCTTCAGCTACTTACTAAATCAACACAAGCTGCGCTTCGCGAAAAGTAGCGAAAAAATGACACAAAGCAGCTCAATAAAGTTCAATAAAAAGTAGAAATAAAAGTAGAAAAAACTAGAAAAATTCGGCTGTGTCAGATTCGCTTGTGCGACCTAGATAATCAGTCTCACACACCAACCACTCAGCCACGGACCTTGCATGAATCACAAACACTAGCCACAATAAAAAGCAATGAAATTTCCAATGCTACAGATCGTGATTATAGCATAAGTCATTAAAGAGGCGAATTTGCACTTCGCATACACAAGCAAAAACATGACACATGACGCTACTGGGAAAACTGAATGAGTAAAACTTTGAGTCTACAAATTTTCTTAAGTGACGCACGCCAATTATGAGCCTACATAATTGCTAAAAGACGCAAGCTAATTATGACGCATTAACAGTTGCAGTCAATTTGAAAAAAAAACTAACTTTCCTCAATTTATAGAGCCGACGCATTTTAACTAGTATACGAAAAAGTTCATTGAAAACATCCGACCCTGCCCAGGTTCGAACCCTCCTATTTTGTTGCGGGTCTCCTTCCCTACCTAAAGTGCTATTTGTAATATAATAGTCTGTGTTAATATCCTTAGCATAGGCTGTACTTAATAGCTGGTTAATGATCAAAATGAACACTTTCAAAATGAACACATTTTGTCGCAATAATTTTTTCGACTTAGGTTGGAAAAAAAGAGGAGTTCTTACTATAACACTAGCTTTGCTTGTGTAAATAAAGGAACACTTTTAAAGAGCTTTCATTTGCGAGTTAGGTTAGAAATAAAAAAAGGTTCGTACTAATACACCAACGCTCGAAGGTGTAAACATAAAATGTCCAATTTTCTTATAATTGCAACAAAATTAATAGTCCAGAAATAGCATCTGAAATATTCCCATTTACAAGAAATTCGACATTAACTTATTCTTCTGACAATCTTATATCACAATTTGAGTTTATGGCTGAGTTTAATAAGAGAAAAAATTTACAGGGAGATTTCAATCATTAAATTACTGTTTCTATTGATCGGTGCTTCTGCTTCATTTACATTGTTTTCACGCCGCCTCGCATAAGATATAAATCCCAGTAGTTTACGGTTTCCTGAACGCGTCAAGACATGGAAACCTAAGCATCTGTCCCCCATAATAAATCCACTTGTTAGCTATTTTCTTATTCCCAAGAAGCACCGGACATCCCCCGTGTAGTGTGATATTCTGTCCCTCTCCGTCCGAGTGTAGATTTGTCCAGAAGATGGCATTTCCCATTACAGGCTTGACAAATATGTTCATTCTGGGGAAGGCTGTGTAACCTCCCAATTCTACGTCTGCAAGGTAGATCATGAATGTAGCCAACCTACACAAATAACTCTAATTTGTGTGATTACAGCAAAAACAAATAACTATTGAAGGGTCTTTCTAGGGTTTCGGCAGCAAAAATTCGAAAGCTGACCTGCAACATCAAAAACTACCTCTCTGTCAAAAGTTAAAATGCTTCTCCGCACGTCACTGCAATCTAACTAGAGGCCAGCTAAAGCTGGAAATACCTGTTTGATAATTTTGGTATTGATGCGGAAGGACAAGGGTAATTTCAAAAACAGACCTATAGCAAAGAAAAGTAAATCCCAATTTAATGACTTCAAATCTGTTAATTTCATCAATTACTTCAAATTTCTTGAAAGTTGAAGTGATTACAAGAGCTTGTTAGGTTTAAAGATGCTTAAAACTTTGCTCATTAGATTTGGGTGGGTAGTCTTTGAGATAAGTCAAAACGTTTGAAAAAAAAAACGGTCAAAAAATCGAAAATTTGACTTTTCGGAGGGTCATAACTTTTTCTGTAAAAATTTTTTGACTTAATTGTTTATATAGCGGAGCTTCCCACAACCCATTCTACTTATTGAAACAAAAACCTCCGATTTGGAAGGGTAGTTTTTGAGAGAAAATGAAAAATTGAAGAAATTGAAAAAACGGTCAAAAAATCGTAAATTTGACTTTTCTGAGGATCATAACTTTTTGTGTGAAAAAATTTGAGTGTAACCCCCATTGCAGGGGAGCTCCCCCCAACCCCTCCGCTCGATTGAAACTAAAATCTCAGATTTGTGATGGTAGTTTTCGAGAAAAGTTAAAAAGTTTCAAAAAATGGTATAAAAAAATCGAAAAATTCTTTAAAATGTTAATAGAATCTTATAGCACATTATTGGTTACGGATATCGACGTCGAATCGCTTTAAGGTTTTTTCTATTTTTAATGGTTTTCTTTGGTAGCAGCTAAAACAGACCAAAATTACCTATTGTGGTATCCCCTTTTGTGAAACCATTGACTTTGCGCGTAGTCCTTTTCGAAGTAATCGTGGTGTACTGAGTAATGACCTCCGATTCCATAACTTCCGATCTGCCAGTCATCCGAGGTCTCGTAGTTCATATTTATGAGATTCTGGATACGCAGACTCAGTCGCTTTGTAATCCAGTGGTTGTCCGGAAACCAAGACTGCGTTCCTGTTCGCACGTCCGATTTTATAGTTGTTTTATTAGTTCCGACCACTTGGCTGCGAAAAGCTTTTGGTGCGTGGTCCCAGAGAGCGTGAAGCTCTTCCCTTGAGGCGAACTCAATGAATTGCCCGACCTATCCAATATAACAGCCAATACTATCAAGACCAAAAGTCAACAAATATGCCAGCACATCAGGAAGGATTTAGGCTATGAATTCGGTACGCCAAAACAAAAGCAATTTTGAGATCAAAACTTTTCAGGTACGACAAAACTTTCGCCCTCATAAAATTCTAGGATCATAAGCTCAAGCAAACGTAAGGTTTCTGTTTTGACTTGAAGCTACAATCTGCACTATTTAAGACATGTACATTACACCACTAGCTCCCCCTATATTTGGATCAAGAAGGCATAAAAGAATTGCAAGCATATGAAACAGAAAACATAGCTAACTAACAGTTGGAAAAGAGTAATGAACGCAGGGAAACTGAAAAAAATGACTTATTTTTAAAAAGATTTCAACTTTTGAATTTCTAAGAAAAAATGGGTGGCCTTAAAGCTCTTTCAATTTGTAGAACATTTTATGATGGACACATTTTTGCAAAAGTTAAACCAATTTGAGAAACCTGGATCAATACGTTAATAAGTTTTTTTATTTCGCTGGGAAATCTGATAACTAATTTCCATTTTCGAAGTTAGAAGTCGATCACGTTTTTCGTGACCTTTATACTTTTGCTCTTCGATAGTGGAGATTGCCTTCTTTTAACAATGTAAACGCACTGACTCAAAAAAATCACAAATCAAACCGCAAAAAAAACTGAGCGTGAACAAATTTTAAGACTTTTTCCAGAAAAAAAAACAAAAAAAAATTAGCAAGACCTATACAAGAGTAGTCACTACGTTCATTACTCTTAAACAAAGCCAACAGACAGTTGAAAAAGAGTCAATGAAAGCGAGTTAACAGAGAAAAAAGCCAAACTTTCGAATTTCAAATAAAAAATAGATGCCTTAAATCTCTTTGAATTTCTTATACAATAAATGATTGATACTTTATTGAAAATATTTAGTCAATTTGAAAAAACTGGATCAATAGTTATTTTTATATTTCGCTGGAAAATGTTAAAAGTAATAACCACTTTCGAAACTAGAATTCCATTACGTTTTTCATGACCTTTATCCTTTTGCTATTTGATAGTGAAGTTAGTCTTTCTTTTAACAAAGCAAATGAACTGAACTTAAAAAAAATCGCGAGCCTTATTTGCGAAAAATTCAGTTTGAGTCAGCCACCAGACAGTTGGAAAAAAGTCAATGAACGCAAGTAAACAGAATCTGATTTCGATTTTCCGACAAAACATAGATGGCGTTATAGCTATTTGAACTATCTAATCTCATTTCGATTTTCCGACAAAAGTAAATGGCGTTATAGCTATTTGAACTTCTAGAACAATTTATGATTGACACTTTTTTGATTAAATTGAGGCAGTTAGAGAAAAAAATCACTGGTAAATTTTTTATTTCGCTGGGAAATCTGATAATTAAATTCCATTTTCGAAATTAGAAATCTATCACGTTTTTGTGACCTTTACACTTGTGCTGTACGATAGTAGAGTTTACCTTCTTTTTAACAAAGGAAAAGAATTGAAACTTTAAAGAAATCAAAAGTCAAAACGCGAAAAAGTAAAATTTGAGCCTGAACAAATTTAAATAGTTTCCTTTAATGAAAAAAAAAACATTGCGACCTATATACGAGTATGAAATACGCTTATCGACTTTTGAAATACTGATCCAAACAGTTATCACCAGTCATATTTTGTTTTTACACAGGGGCGAAGTTGCACTTCGCATATACAAGCAAAAATATGACCGATAACGCTACTGGGAAAACTGAATGAGTAAAACTTTGAGTCTACAAAATTTCCTAAATGACGCACGCCAATTATAAGTCTACGTATTTGCTGAGAGACGCAAGCAAATTATGACGCATTAGCAGTACCAGTCAATTTGAAAAAAAAATAACCAACTAACATGCCTCAATTTATGGAAAACATCCGACCCTGCCCAGGTTCGAACCCTCATTCAAAACATCCGACTTTGTCTGGTTCGAACCCTCTCCTTTTGTTTCGGGTCTCCTTCCCTACCTCTACGCTACAGATCCATGATACCTTGAAGCTAAAATGATATTTGTAATATAACAGTCTGTGTTGATACCCTTAGCATTGGCTGTGCTTAATAGCTGGTTATTGATCAAAATGAACACATTGTGCCGCAACAATCTTTGCTACTTAGGTTGGAAAAAAGTGTTCATACTATAACACAAGCTTTGCTTATATAACAAGCAAAAGTTACCAGCTACAAGATAGAATCAACTAACGAGGAATAAAATGGTGAAAATGAGATCCGTTTTCAATTCTTGGTGTGGCCCAATGTTTACCTTTGAAATAAACAGCGTACCTTTGGATCACTGGCTAGCCACTCCACTTTCATTGGCTGCCAGTAAAACACAGGGTGAGGCGAGTAGAACTCACAATGATGTAATCTGTTCTCCTTCTTCAACTGAGAATTCCAGCCCTGTCTTTTTCCATCGCACAACTTCAAAAAGGCTTTCTTGTCGTTACTCAACAACTCGCGACAGTGATTCCCGCTTATACACGTGTTGTTTCTACATTTAAGCTTCACTTCTTCGCCTATGTTGATATTCAATTGCACTTTCAGGTCTTGTGCAAACATGTGCGAGAGATGTTTGATCCATCTGGCTCCTCTGCATTTGTCCTCAAATCTAGCTGCGGCCCCCACAATAGCCAGTGACTCATCGTCCGACAGACTACGCACTGCCTCAAATCCGCCTAAACAACATTAATACAACATTTGTAGGTATAAAAAACCCGGGATGACCTCCATAGACCAAAAATGCTAATCATACAATTTCATACACTTAGTCTATGGAAAAATGCTAATCATAGAATTTTCATACATTTTTGCAAAAAATAGTTTAATCGAATTTCAAAGGTATTTTATTGTTGTTTTGGTATCGAAATTGGTATCTCTTCATAAAAAAAGGAAAAAAATCATATGAAAAAAATGCTAATCATACAATTTCCATTTATGAAAATTGCATGACTAGCGTTTTTTTAGAAAAAAAACAAATTTGAAAAAAAAAGAATCAAAAACTCCAGATCGTAGATAGGTAAATCAGCACATCAATTTTTTGAACTTGATGTGAACTGTTCGCAATGACTCGTTTGTTTAAAATAAACTTTGTCAGGAATCAAAATTTTCAGAAAAAACACGGGTGTTTTTCCGAGAATCAATGACAAATTATGATAGGTTCTACTTCTAGAAGGCGTTCTTGGTTTTAATTTAGCAAGGATTGAAAGACAATACGGTTTGTTTGCGACCATTTAAATCAAGGAGAAGTGTTGTCTCTGGATGTATTCTAAATTTTTTTCAGGAAAAATCTTGTATCACGAATAATCATTAGGATGGTTCGGGGAACATTCTTTTTGAACCATTCTGGGACGTGATTCAAACCAGCTCAAAAATTAAAAAATAAAGAACCTGTCCCTAAAGAGAAAAAACTAAGCCGGAAACTCTCAGGTTGAGTCTGTTTTCTAATGAGTAGGTCTTAAAGGGGTTGCTCGCTCGCTTTACCTGCTAGAAAGTAGCCTAAATTTTTTTTCAAACACCGAAAAGCAAGTTTTTATACCAAAAGACATAATTTTGAAGCTTCAAAGAACACTTGGGTGACAATCATTTTTAAAAGAACATTTAAAAATAACCTAGAAAAACAGAAGTATTTTTTCCAAATTTGCTTTCAAATGTTTTCCGATGAAGTTTTTCCTTTTTTTTGTTTTTTGTTCTTTTTTTGAGGAAAGTTATGAGGGTTTAAAGATTGCCATTTTGGTCATTTTGACCAATTTGGGACAATTAACGCGCAATATAATTCGCGCTATTAACGCGTAAGCGGAGATTTAATCCGTCTTATAAATCGTTCCAAATTGGTTGAACGAAGCTTTTTTGCCATAATTGAGTTGTTACAAGGAGCAAAATCTATCCTTTTGTACTTCATATGGCGTGTGGGGGATGACTTTTATTAAAAAAAAAATTGCAAATTTTAGAAAATTAGTTTTTTGTTTTATTACATTTAATTTTTTAAAGTTATTACTGCTCCATAAACAGTCTTGTTCCATTTTATAACTGCTCCATATAATTTAAAAGGCAGTCGAAGATCAGGACGTCGTCCTGGTACATCAGTCTTGTTATATTACGTGAACCTTTATAAGTATATTTCAGCCACAGGATGAGTTTTCAGCGGAAGGGCCACTCTTTTATATCCCCTGCAGTGCCCACTACAGGAATTTTGCCGTAGTAGAGGAGATTTAAAGCGTAAGCGGAGCCAAAAAGAGAAATCTCAAAATAGTAGAAAGGGGGGGACCCTTTGGGTCTGCATGGGGTCGAAATCCTGAGGGGTTGGGAGAGAAAGTCTGCACTCCCCTAACCCCCGCAAATCCTCGCCTATTTTTCCGCAACTTTTTATTTCCGATTTCAATTTTTCTCGAGTGGCGCGGAGCTCTGCTTCGCCTTTGTATTTTCTACTAACTCGCTTTGCATTGGTCAAAAGTAGTTTTGAAGGTCATCAGAGGATTCGTATCTGAGAAGACCTAGTCGAAAGTCAGCCAATCGATGGCACCTAAAAACACGTTTTTGCACAGTTTTTACCTTGTAAATCGGTACAATTTGGTGTTTCTGTCTGCCATAGTTTGGTCGACTTCTGACTGCATCTTCTCATACATGATTTCAAAAGTGATCTCAAAAGTTGAAATTTCTCACGAGGGAAAAATTTAGGATTTTTATGATGTTTGAATGTTTGTTGATGTTTAAATGTTTGTTTCAATTTTTCAATCTGAGTGTCAATTAAATGTGTGTTTTATAGGGAACTGTTTTAGATGTTGATGTCAGATGTGATTGGAAGAGAAAAAGTCCAGAATATTGATGCTTCTGGTGGACTGTTTCCTGTTTTGGATTACTCAGCTAGCTAACAGGTTTTTTTCTTAATTTTTCTGAGGCAGTCCCTCCTGGTTTGGAGTCCCCCTAAGATAAGATTAAGAAATGCTCTGCTTTCTCAGTGTGTGAGGAGAATTGACTATGAGAAATCAATTTTCTCTGGTTTTTTCTTCTCTGTTCAGAGAGTGCTCGTCGTATGGGATGGGAATTAAAGTAGTTTTTTGCCTCATTTTGCTGGATTTCTAATTGTTAAAAAATGCTTGTCATAAAATTTTCATTTATGAAAAGTTTCTAAATTTTCTATTTCCATATATGAAAAAATGCTAGTCATACACTTTCCATATATGAAAAAATGCTGGTCATACAATTTCCATATATGAAAAAAATACTAATCATAGACCTTTCATGCAATTTTCTGTACGTATGGAATTGCATGGAAAGTGTATGACTAGCATTTTTCCATATATGGAAATTGTATGACTAGTATTTTTGGTCATCCCGGGAACTTCCTTTCAGAAGTATGGCCATTTTATGTTTTGCGCGACCTTTAAGACAAGTGCTTGATAGGAGAGTTCCAATTTCGATTCTAGACGATTCGCTTGAAATGGTGATCTGTAAGTCTCACAAAAGCCTAATTCCGCTAATTGCTCCTTCCATCATTGCATCAGTGCCAATATATCTATGGATTCGTAACCATACAATATGGTCACGTATATGTCAGCTCTATGAGGAGACTACATGTCTCAATTCCATAAAAAAATTGTTTTCAGGCAATCGATTCCATTGTGGGTACTTAATAAATTTACAAAACCCTCCAACAATTTTACTGCCTAGGAGAGCACTATTTGACCTACAGGTCCGTTCACAGGTGTCTCAAAGCAGAACTTTATTTTGTAAGTTTTTGATACTAGGTGAGAAACTAATTCTCAGTATTTGAAATTAAATCAAAGTAGTCTCCTCCTAGAGCTGATATATACGTGACCATATTACAGTTTGACGTTTTTGTGTTTAATTACGAATCCATAGATAAAGTGGTACTGATGCAATGATGAAAGGAGCAATTCGCAGAATTTATATATCAAAACGTATTATTGTACGCATAATTCGTAAACTGAGCTTACGTATTATTCCACGACGCAGCAAACGAGTGTCTAACTTATAGACTTCTTGCAGCCTTAGAATTCCGAAAGCAGATTTATCCAACTCTTCTGTGCTGACCGCCAAATTGTCCAAATCACTCAGAACAGGAATCAGGCATGTGTATGGTCTATACAGATCCGAATCATGTTTGTACAACTTTTGATCCCAGAACTGCTCTGATGTTTCATTGGCCGAAAACAACCTTACCAGTCTGAAAAAAAAACGTATCAAAATTTAAGATGACATATACGTGCTTTGACACGCTTTTTATTTTTCTATTGTGTTTTTGATTCATTTTGATTGATTTGACTTTCAAATATCCATTCATAGGGACTTTCGGTTAGTTGGATATGTGGAGAGCCTCAGTGATATAATAATTAGAAGCAACAAGTTCGGACAGACAAAATTAGTTAAGAGTATTTGACCCATTTTTGCATGCAATGAATGCAAATGTGTCTCAAGTTTATTTGAAACATCAAAACCATAACGCTCAACTCAAAACCCTAATGCACAAAAATGGAAAAATTGCTATTTTCCACTAATTATGTTTTTCCGCACTTTATGAGTCTTTCTATAGCATAAAAAAATTGTTGGTCAAGTCAGAGCTTTAGCTGGAGAAAGGGAAAATAAAAAATGAAGAACAACGTACTGTTGAAATTTGTCCCAGTATGTAGCAAATTTGTGCACAATCATGAACTAAAACAAAATATGTACCGGAAAAGAATAATGTAAACAGAGGCGAAGCTGAGCTTCGCACCACTTGAAATACAAATATGAACGTTATGAAAAAAAATAACGAAAAAATTCAAAAAAAAAGTTTTTGTCAAAGAAAATAGCAACATAAGCCCAAAATATCCGGACCAAAATTGCCTGCACCATTGGAAACTCTACAAAGAGCTTTGGGTATACTATAAAAAATCGAAGTTTTCAAAAAAGTCCTTTCTGTGGAACTAAGCAGACAAAAATAAGCAGACAGACAATCTAGACCATCTAAATTAGCCAAATCTTTCTATTTACTAGAAAAACAAGTCTCAACTGGAATCAATTTCCCGTGCTTTGTCTTATTACGACTAGCGAAAAACCTTCGTTGTGATTTTCGCGTTTTTTCAGTAGTCGTGAAAATTAAAATTGTTACGTGTCTTTCTTTACAAACGAACGAGTTTTTAAAATTTCACATGTCAGGCAAAACCGACCTCTCCCAATCCGTTCAATTTAGCTATTAACACCGTTAATTCTTCGAAATAGCCAGTTTTCTCATTCAACTGTTACAAATAAAAGTTCGTTGTTGTCATGCATTTCAGGCCATTCTTGTCGAATGTCACATCCGGAGTGGCTTTCTCATAGAGTAATTTCGGATAAGGTAAACCGTCTGTTCGTCACGCTATCTTATTTTCGGTCGGATAGGTTCGTTCAAATTCTTAGTCTAATACCGATCCTAATCTTGCTCTATATTTCCCAGTCTCAAAAGATCTAGTTTATACTGGTATTGTTGCGATGTAAGAGTCAAGAAAGAGCAACTGTTTGCTAAGTTTATTCTTCTCTGATTGAAACTATAAATAGTTTCAGCCCTACAATTTATTGTAACTTTATTCATGGATCTTGATTGCTTAGTTCTAAGTATTTTACAGTGATGGTTTTAAAGAATATAATTGGATATATTTAATACTTGTTTTGAACTAGTTGAGCTGGCAACCTATAGAACCTAAAAATAATTCGAACAAGATGTGATATTTCGTTCGCAAATGTTCTAAGAAAGGCGTTTGTTTGCTTGTAACTAACTTTTAAAAAAGAGGCTTTTTAAGATCATTTATCCACGAGGGATAGGACCAACATACGAGCTGTACAGCTCATCACGGCGAACCGCTGTTGTACCCTGCTTAAGAACTACATGCAATTTTTTTTTGGTTATTTTTCTGGGCTGGGTAATGTTGCCTCACCCTCAAGCAACGAGCACGGATCATGGTGGGCCTCGAACATCCGACCTTTCGATTGAGAGGCGGAGACGTAACCACGTAACCACTTCACCACTGCTATATTGAGCCAATCACTTGAGATTCAGGCCATTACTCTGTTTGGAAGACCTGAATCACTTGATAGAACGCGAATTAGCATGTTGCAAGATTGCAAATGCAAATTAATTTCCGATAGAGAGTGTGACATTCGACCAGAATGGCCAAAATGCAGTCTCTGCAGAATTCAGGATTTTAGCAGTGAACCTTCCGAATTGGCGATTTAGAACGGATAAGGACGTTATTTGAATGATTGGCCAAACGGTGAAGGCTAGAAGATTCTGGAATTCTAAATTTTAAATTTTCGAAGTGATGACGTAACATTTCTGAGAAATGTTAAAACGGCCATTTTGGCTAAAATAGCAGAAAGAAACAGAACAACTTTTATCTGCGATTGCGAACAGTACGAAAATCGAGATTGGAAAACGACAACGAACTACAGAATAGCAGAGAACGTTCCGAGTTGCAACTATTGTGCTGCTACAATAGTTGCAAGGCCGTTGCCAACAACGGTGAAGGGTGAGAACCAGCCTTCCGGATTAGCAAGAAATCAAGATTAAGGAGCTTGATTCGGCGGATTCAAGAATCCGGAAGGGTCTCGGGACGGAAACTTTTATTAACTCACATAAACTTTTAGCATCCTGTCATGTCCTGACTTGAATTTAACTGATATTTTGATTAGTTTTGACAAGGATGAGGTGCTAGGAGTTGGGGGGAAAGGGTTGATCCATCTTCGATGGAGATGATGATTTTTATCTACTGAACAAAAACAATAGTAATATGATAAGTAGTAGCCCTGTTTTTAGGAGTGACCTCATGGTCTGGGGATACAGAGACCCAGCCATGAGCTCACTAATTTTGCATGTAATTCAGTTAATTTGAGCGTTCTGGTCGAAGCCGGAGAACAGTAGCGTTTTTGTCAGCCTGATGTAAGAAAGACCACCGAAAAGTACTGGCTTGGTAGAGACGGTGAAAAACATGCAAAGCTCTGTTTAGACGCTAGCCAGTCGTCTTAAGACTTAGTTTTGTTATCCGTCGATATGTATCTTCCGGGCGAATGTTACATGTATGTTTTTATGGCGCTCCTGGGTGTTATTCTTTCATAACATCATGACCGGCGGAACCGTTAACGAGCACTCCGCGCCGAGCGGATGCTCACATTAACGCCCTTAATAGGCCTAAACTGCCGGGGCGGAAGGGTAGTTCGGAACGCGGAAGCCTTCCGGATTACCGTGAATAGTTTTTTAACCTAGTTAAGACCGAAAATTCACGAACCAGGAAGGGTGGGGGGAATCATGAACCCCTCATCCCCTGAGTGGTTTGTGACCAAAAACACTTAAAGATATCAGCAAAACCAAACAAAAAGTAGTATAGTACCCAAGAAAAACAAAAAACATAAAAAATAACCGAAAAAACCAAAAACAGTAAAAAAGTAAAAAATCAGTAGAAATCATCCCCCCAGACAAGATGTGATTCAACCCCCCCGTTTGTTGTTGATAGATATATTGTTGTTACAGGCATTTATATCAGTCAGGATCGTTACGATCAATTTTGTAGCCCGTTTGTGAGGCTTGTACTGTAGGGTTATTTGAGCATTTAAGCACGTTAATGATCAATTGCGCTCAATCCGGAAGGGTCAGCTGATTTGCGCTCAATTCGGAAGGGTCTTGGGTGAAGACCGATCCGGCAAGCAGTTCAAGAAGCAACAAGAAGGGGCTCAACGACAACAACAATCGACTGTTGGGTATCGTTAACAAGTTTTGTATCCCTTTTGGTACAAAAAGTAAGATAGTAATCTGTGGGTGGCTCGACAGTGCTGCACTGTAGTGACCCTTCACCGAACTGCGAATATCCGAGTTAAGCACCTTAATTTGGATAATAAACAAACCCGGAGGGGTATAGTATTACTAATATTATTATTCATATAGCCTATATTAATAGTCACATATCGTTTTTCAGTGAAAAACAACGAAAACAGACCGGTTTTTAGGGTCAAAATAGCGATATTTTGATCCCCCCACAAGTCGCGATTTTTGAGATATCGATATTTTTTGAAACGGAAAAAAGCGCTAAGTTAGTGTGTTACATCGTAACTGCACTACTGCAATAAGTAGAACCGGTTAACTTTAGTTCGGAAGTGGTTGGAACTAGTTTGGTACCAAAAACCAAATTTTCCCAATTTTTGATAGTAAGAAACACTAAAAATTTAGAAAATTTTTGGAAATTTTTGAGGTAGGACAGTAAAAATAGTTGTTCGGACAACGTCCACTAGTGAATCTACAAGTCTTAAAATCCGCTACCCGAAAGCCTTCCGGGTTGCAGAGAAATCGAACATAACGTGTTTGATTTGGTGGATTCATCAATCCGGAGGGGTCCAGGTAGCATAGTTTTTCGCAAATTTTTTCTACAAAAGCGTTTTAGATCGGGTCTTTTGCATTGAACTAGAAGAGTATAGGCCTTGTGAGCTCAGATCAATAATTTTTAGGTCGAAAGGACCAGATTTGCGGAAAAAGTTAGGCGGAACCTATAAGAGAGAAAATTTTTGAGTTTGGAAGAAAGACGTTTTAGTTAATAACTTTGGAACTACTGAGCATATTGAGTTGATCTTGGTACCAATAGATCAGAAATTAGCTGAACTTACTAGTAGGAAAGAGAATTACTCGAAAAAGCGAGCGAGAAAATTTTTTGAGATTGTTTTTAGCAAATTACACAAATCCGGAGGGGTACACCCTTCACGTTTTATAAATTTTTCTGAAAAACCCTTATACCCCTACCAAAAGTTGATAGCGATTGAACTAAGTAACTTAGGACAGTTCCAGACAAAAAGGGAGGGCGGAAGGCACAAGACAACCATAATAGAGTCGAAATTAGGCAAGTGATAAGACCCTTCACCGTTAGTGTGAATTGTCAAATAAGTGCCTTAACTTCAATCCGGAGGGGTCTAGGAAAGGACCCTATACCCTTCCCAGTTAATTCAAACAGCATAATAGCAACGCAGAGCGTATCCGGAGGGGTATAAGCTGAAATTAAGAAAACTTCAAAAAGCTACTTTGACAGAGCTAAGGGCTCCGAAGTCAGAGGGGTCCGAATCCGGAGGGGTCTACTTTCCACAAAACCGGAGGGGTCCGAATCCGGAGGGGTCTTATAGTTGCTAATTCGGAGGGGTCCAAATCCGGAGGGGTCTACTATTAACTAACTCGGAGG